TGCTTCTTCTCCTGTCCTGGGGCAATCAGATGATCGACTGAAGGTGTCCTGATTTTTGACATTCTACCATTGAAAGCATCCACATTAACATGCTTTTCAATCTTTCCTGTACATTCTTTTCAAACTAAACTTTGCTTTAAACTGTTGTTTGCTTGGAAAAATATAAATTGTAATGTTAAAAATCTAAAAAAACTTGACAGGTTAAAAACTTACACTACTACTACTCACCCATTTAACATGTTTAGCTCTATAACATTTAAATGCACCACTCCAATGTCTAATAGAAAAAGATTTAATGAACATTTTTTAATGTATGATCACTGTACAGAAGACTGCCATATGATAGAAATATTTAGACTGTGCGCATACAGTTATTTTCCTAATCCCTGTCTGATAATTTTTAATCTAGCGTGTATTATAGTACAGATTAAATTCATCATCCAGCCGCTGCTCTGCACAATTCTCTCCCCAAGAGCTGAATCACGTCATCTAGCGGAAAATCACGCGTTTTTTTCAAATCACGCGAGAATGTGTACAAAACAACAAAGATGGCGCCGGCAATGCTTGTGGGTCGTTTTCAGCGAATGTCGGTGATTTTAAAGTACTTTTGAGTAATAATTTTTTTTTGCGATCATTGCACTTGCCCAGCGGGCAAATGCAATGAAATTTGTACTCTCCCGACAATTAAAACTACTTGCCCCGGGAGATCGGACAATGGTTAACATCGAACCCTGCTAAGTATATCTGAATTGAAATATAGCAAATCTGCCTTCCGCCATTGAACACAGGAGCAGCAAAAGAATCAGACAATTTTCACACTTTACTGGACGTGTTTCAGGGGCATCAAAGATGCTCTTAAGGCATATCTGACCTTAATGTGGACTAGAGACTGACACGGGAGTGGGTTTTCACTCCTATCCCGTCCCACTCCCACAGAAAAAAAATTGTGTCCCGTCCCCATCCCGGGCCAGAGTAGAAATCTAAATCCTGTCCCGTCCCACTCCTGGTGAAATTACTCCCACTCCCATCCCACTCCCATTCAGAATGTCTCCCGCTCCTCCACCACTCCCATTCTTGTTGTTTTTGAGCGCGGTTGAAAAACTCAGAGCAGAAGCACTGTTGGTTTTTGGGTCGTGTAGTTTTTTTGACTCGCATTATAATGTAGGCTTCAAGGAAAAAAAACTACAAAAATGGCGGCGCCAGTACTGGATTTTTCTTTCTTTCTATTTTATTTTATTTTTTGGCATCGATCCGTTTTTTTTTTTTAGTTATTATTGGTTTGCTCCCGCTCCCGTCTGCTCCCGTTAATGTTTAATCCTGTACCGTCCCAATCACGTGATCGTTACTAATACTGACTCCCATCCCACGGGAATCCCGTGACCCGTGGGTTTCCCGAAAAAATTTCAGTCTCTAATGTGGACAAGCATAAAAAAATGAAGCAGCAGGCGCTTTTTTTGGTGCTGAAATCACATGTGGTGTGAAGGTAGCATCAGTGTTTCTGTTGGTTAGAAAAGACCCTCGACCACATTTCCATAAGGAGCAGAGGTGACGTCACACTGTGTGAGAGACGAGTCGTAANAGCCTACATTACCGTGTTAACATGCTTTTCAATCCTTCCTGCACATTCTTTTCAAACTAAACTTTGCTTTAAACTGTTGTGCTCTTGGAAAAATAGAAATTCTAATATTAAAAATCTAAAAAAAACTTGAAAGGTTAAAAACTTACACTACTACTACTCACCAATTTAACATGTTTATCTCTATAACATTTAGATGCACCACTCCAATGTCTAAGAGAAAAAAAATTAATGAACATTTTTCAATGTATGACCACTGTACAGAAGACTGCCATATGATAGAAGTATTTACACTGTGCGCGTACAATTATTATTTTCCTAATCCCTGGCTGATCATTTTTAATCTAGCGTGTATTATAGTATAGATTAAATTCATCATCCAGCTGCTGCTCTGCAGAATTCTCTCCCCAAGAGCTGAATCACAGCATCTAGCGGAAAATCACGCCGCTTTTTCAAATCACGCGAGAATGTGTACAAAACAACAAAAATGGCGCCGGCAATGCTTTGGGGTCGTTTTCAGCGAATGTCGGTGATTTTAAAGTAATTTTGAGTAATAATTTTTTTTTGCAATCATTGCACTTGCCCACCGGGCAAAGCAATGAAATTTGTACTCTCCCGCTCGTGTAGTTTTTTTTGACTCGCATTATAGTGTAGGCTTCAAGGAAAAAAACTACAAAAATGGCGGCGCCAGTACTGGATTTTTTTTCTATTTTATTTTATTTTATGGCATCGATCCTAGTTTTTTTTGTTACTATTGGTTTGCTCCTGCTCCCGTCCGCTCCCGTTAATGTCTAATCCTGTACCGTCCCAATCACGTGATCATTACTGACTCCCATCCAACGGGAATCCCGTGACCCGTGGGATTCCCGAAAAAATGTCAGTCTCTAATGTGGACTAAGCATAAAAAAATGAAGCAGCAGGCGTTTTTTTTTTGGTGCTGAAATCGCATGTGGTGTGAACGTAGCATCAGTGTTTCTGTTGGTTAGAAAAGACCCTCGACCACATTTCCATAAGGAGCAGAGGTGACGTCACACTGTGTGAGAGACGAGTCGTAAACACAGGTCTGTAGTAGAACAGGATTTATTTACAAGAAATGGTTTTAGAAGTGATTTTTTTTTTTTCCTTTAGCCTTCAAAACAGTGCAGGCAGCATCGCAGAGTCTAAACTGTTATCAGCGTGTTTATTATAGATGGCTGCCAACATTTCTGGATCATTGAATCTCCTTTATCTGAAAAGCCTGGACAGCAGCGGCTCAGCCTTCCTGTTCCACTCTTCAGGAGCCCAGATCCCTTCGTATAAAACTGTTTTCTTTCCTGCAGCCGTGCCGTTTGAAGTACCCGCTGTTCTGTCAGATGAGCATACCCCATTAGACCAGCATACCACTACCTAAACAGGTGTCATGTACAAAAAAAACCTCTTAATTACTTAGTTTTTTGTGTTTTTGAAGCGTATGGTGACCTGACCTTAAATTAGGGTGACCAGATGTTCTCTTTTTCCCGGACATGTCCTGCTTTTCATACCTGAAAAATGTCCGAGGGGAATTTGGTCGACTGCGTACCTGCCTCACCGGTCCCCAGCCCCCTTCCTCCAGCTGAGGACGGGCGGCTCATGGCTCTCTGCTGAGGTCCGGTCCAGCAGTCGACATTTCATACCCCGCCGAAAAATAGACAAAAAACTTAACAGGGGATAAATGTAAATCTGACGTCTTCCGCATGCGTATTGACTGCGGCTATGCTGAGCCATGAGCAAGACCCTTAACTCCACACTGCTCCCCGGAGGCTGCACAGTGGCAGCCCACACCTACCCGAAGGGATGCGTTAAATGCAGAAAATGAGTTTCTCCAGTGTGAGATCAATAAAGTTCAATTATTTTCACTATTAACACCTTGTCTGTATCTTTTTGTCACTGAATGCAGCTCAGATTTCCCCAAAAAACTCAACTTCCACTCTGAAGACTGTTGAGCTAGCACAGAATAGCCACTTTAGCAGAAAACAATCACGTGGTTCTGGTCTGAAGACATTTTTAATGGTGTCCAAAACAGACAGTTTGGTGTCGGTAAAGCTGGTTAACCTCGGTATGGTTGATACTCAATGACAGAAGTTGGAGAACCAGGCTAGAAATGATTGAGGCATTTGAAATCTGGATCGGACACTTCTTCTCCTACAATGTTTTTCTACTGTTAGATCGTCCATGTTGAACCGGAACCTTTACCCAGTGAATGCCAGGGAAGGACACCATCTTCTTCGAAGCGCAAACACAATGCACTGCTAATAGCACTGGATTAAATAAACATTGACCTACGTTATGGCGCCACGATCATCCCTGTTTGCTCAAACCTCAGGTCCGTGTACTGCAGTTCTGACAAAGACTTTTGCAAAGCTAAAATAGACGACTAAAGAACAAAGATATTCACACGGTGTCCGGTGGCTGAAGGAAGGAAGTTGAAGGTTCAGGTACAAGAGTTTCCTCTGGATGGTGGCTCTTCATGTGTGTTTTCAAGCAGTGGCTCTGGGTGAAGGCTTTGTCACAGAGGGAACACTTGTAGGGTCTCTCTCCGTTGTGGGTTCTCATGTGGACGGTCAGGTGTTCCTGTCGAGAACAAGCTTTGCCGCAAACCCCGCAGGTGAAGCGCTTGATGCCCAGGTGGCTCCGGATGTGGACGTTCAGGGTGCTCTTGAGTTTGAAGTGGCGTCCGCACCTGGTGCAGCCGTAGGGCGCCTCGCCAGTGTGAATACGCATGTGTTTCCTGAGGTCCCATTTGGTGAGGAAGCTTCTGCTGCAGACGGGGCAGACGAACGGCCGCTCGTCGCTGTGGGTCTTCATGTGAGCCATCAGGGTGCTGTTGGACAGGAAGGCTTTGCAGCAGACGTGGCACAGGTACATGCGGTCCCTGACGGTGTGGACCTTCTCGTGCGCCTTCAGGGTTCCCTCCAGCTTGAAGCGCTTCCCGCAGACTTTGCAGCCGTGGCGGCGCTCCGTGGAATGAGTCAGTTTGTGACGAGTCAGAGACCGCAGGTCGAAGACGGACCTTCCGCAGATGTTGCAGAGGTACCGGTCCCGGCCGACGTGACACTTCTTGTGAGCTACGAGGTGCCCTTTGAGACCGAAGGACTTTGGACAAATGTCACACTTGTGAGGTCTGTCTTCCACGTGGACCCAGCGGTGGCTTCTCATGGCGGATTTGTAGGAGAAGGATTTGTTGCAAATGTCACACTTATACTGCCGTTCTCCCGTGTGCAGAGTGACGTGGTTCTTGAGCCCTGTGGTGGTGACGAAGGCCTTCCCGCAGTACGAACAATCGTATGTTTGCTGGTGAGTTCTAAGATGTCCTTTTAGGTCTTCTGAAGAGTCGAACTTTTCTCCGCACACCCCGCACACGCTCTGGGGGTCGTCTGCGTGAGACCAGGCATGCCTGGCAAAGTTCGACAACGTCCGGTAAGACACGCCACACACCCGGCAGGAGGCCTTACTCCCGTCTCCCCTCTCTCCCAATCGTCTGGGGCCTTGCTTAATGGCTTCTCTGGGCTTTGGATCTTCAAGATCCTCCAGATCTTCAGCCTCCTCAGGACTTGGCTTCCACTCCTCGTCAGCCCTGGCGTTCCTCTCACCTGCCTCGTCGTCTTCATGCGTGGAGCCGCCGCTCTGATACTCGGGGCTGAAAACAAGCAACAAGTCAGAATCTCTCACTGTGCCCGTTGTGCCGGCTCAGTTCCGATGAGAAGAAACTACCTTTGAAGTGGAGCGCTTTCATCCTCCATTACTCCACAGGTGGTCGGCTGAGGTTCGTCTTTAACCAGCTGAAGGTTTTCTTCGTTCTCACTGTCCTCCTCTTCACCTGTCTGTAAAAAAACAGAAAAGGCTTACATACAAGGCCATGAGATCAATTAAAGAACTTTCCTTTTTTAGTCTCGATCGATCCAACCAAACCTCTTGTTATTTAATCAAGCAACAACCAACCAAAGGATCAAGGAGCTTGTCCAAAAGATTGTCCAACATGGACGGCAAATGGAACAGTCCACATTAGTCCACCTCAATGTTTTTAGTCCATAACTCTTTGGTAAATATGTGAACATAGAGAATATCTGGTAGGACCTTTGATTTTCAGTGCTTTATGATCCTAAAGGTCCCAGAGATCGGGGAGTGGTTTACACAACATGAGAAAAGGAGCATTCAGATCATCATAACAACAATACCGAGAAAACCGGCACCGAGCAAAACACCTTTGACCTTGAAGCCTGGTTAGATATGGCTCTAAGCTTCA